GAATGGTGGCTAAACCACCATAGGTGCCTGCAACTTTAGTACTAATGTAACTTACCCAAGACTACCCATTTCCCCAAGCTGCAGCCAGTTTAGCTGTCAAATAAAAATAACTTATGGCACTCCACTTGGTCATCACGCCGTTCCTGATTCTCCCCTGGGTACCCAAGGCTGTTCAAAACTGAATGCTAGAGATTGTCAGAAATAAAAGGCCAAATTTCATGGTAGACCTGATTAGAAAGTAAAACCTGTTCTTGGCTTTGCACAGAAGGGAGGTACCTCTTTGCCGAGTCCCCCCAACCACAACAGGTGTTCGAGTTGAAGCCATGGAAAGCAGCCCCTCCCTCTTGAACTGGGAATTTCTGGGTCTCTAGCACAGCTAGAAGAGATGATTGCAACAAAACAACCCCTGGTGTCATCGGACCATCTGGGTCTGAGGACTTGTTTGGAGCCCACCACCTGACCACGCTCACACTGCCATCACCTGTAAAACATTAACCTTTGCTGGGGCAGGACAGTGCCACTGAGAATGACTGCCCTGGGTCAGGGAGGAGTTTACTGTTTCGAAGATTGAATTGAGGAGGCCACATGATTAATTTGAATAATTAGAAGCCTTTTTTTTCCTCACTTGATTTTGGGACTGCCATGTCACTTTAGTTCAAAACCAAACACATGTCACCTAGGTTATGAGAAAATGAAAGCTTTAAAACAAAGAAGAGGCCAAATTTGGAAGGGATGTAGGTGTTAAACTTGGGTCTGCATTTCTGAAGAAGAATCACCTGTAATTGTATAAAAGCAAAGGACACAAGCATCATATTTGTGTTTACATTAAAGAGTGAGCATTTAGAAACATGCAATATTTGTTTTAAACACTTTCCTTCTTTTTAATCTTGCTTTGCACCCAAGGAATGCTGATGGTTACCAAATTGTTCTCTGGCAGAGTAAATTGACCCTTAGAGGAAAAAAAGGAAAGTGTGATAGGATGTGATTCTAGCACAAGACAAAGTTATAAATCCTTCAACCCTAAGCAGACATTAACTCATCCAATGACCCCAACCTGGGAGGTTACCTGGGAGCATTTCTGTACCTTGCATTATGTACATTACATGGTAGTGAAGGACAGTTTCCATGTCTCCTAATAAAGAGATGCTTCTCTTTATTAAGAGAGTGAAGAGGAGCTTTGCAGGTAAGAGCTGAGCTTATCTTTGAGCTGCTCAGCCTCCTCATCTGGACGCCTTAGTTGTCCCCATCAGTGCTGATTGTCTTAGCAATAAGGCATTCAGTGTCTAGAAGGCACTTTCTTCCTACACCCTGTGAACAGGATAGTGAGTATTTTGTTATGTGTGTGAAATGAGCACGACTCCCCTCCACTGCCACTAGCTATAATCAGCCTTTCAAATCTACACTGAGCGTGTCCCCGGTGACTATGGCATAGTAAGGAACACGGATGTTTATGACAACGCGTCCCTGAGAAGCGGCAGGTCTAACAGCCCAGCGACCTGGCTTATTCATTCGGTTTCTTTGTGCAGAGACATTTTGTTTTCCCAACTCCTTCACCATGTGCTAGCAATTAGACGATGACTCCATAAAGGAGGAGGAAAAAGCAGTGTCATAGACAGTGGGTGGTTTGTTTTCTTAGCTCTGTATTGAGCACATATGGAGATGTTTATGTATAAATAGTAAACAATAGAATGCTGCCATCACGTTAGCAGCAGCTAATAAAATTCTCCATGAATAGAAATCCAACATGTCTCTACGTACGCCAGAATTCTAGTTCACATCCTGTCTAATTCAGCTTGAAAAGGTCTTGTATTATTTCAAGCTTTTTAGTCCTAGTTGAAAGGAAGTTACAGAGCAGTAGTGGGTGTTTTTGTTTGTTTGTTTCCTTTTGTTTTAGTTTTTACTTTCTTTCTTCTCTTTGCTTAATTAAACTACTCTTATTAGCAAAGGTGATAAAATCTGTCTAAGTAGACCTTGTATTATGATCATAAAAAATTTCAGACTCTATGCTTTTGTGTAACTACAGTCTGTATTTTACATTAAAAGGGAGGATGTGCAGCCTGACACTTGGGAGTGACGCTCAGGGCCACACAGGGTCAGAGAGCGCAGGCTTGGGCGGCAGGCCTCTGCATTGGAATTCTGGCCGCCACACTTCCTAACTAGGTAACCCTGGGAAAGTTAGTTGGCCCAACAAAACTTCAGTTGCCTCGCCTGTGTAATGACAACTACATCCCATAGAATGTGAGCGTTATGTGGAATAAGCTGTTAAGCATTTCACACAGTGTCTGTAGTGTGGCAAATACTTCAAAATGCTGCCTGTCATCATTATGAGCAGCTAACAGAATGGTTTAAATTGGTAAGACCTGTAACAACTGTTTATTGAGTGCTAATTATGTACCAGGCTTTAGGACGCATTCTTTTCTAACATCCACGAACTAGCTGCCATTTTCATGCTCGTTTGGTGGTGACGTAGTCTGGTTACCCAGACTGGCCAAAGTCACACAGCCAATGACTGGTTAATCCAAGGATCGAATGCAGTCCGATTAATTAAAAGCTCACTCTCTATCTCTCTGGTCAACTGGCTTCTAAATATGTAGCATAGGACACCTTTGAAAGTTCTTTTTTATGTATTATTCTCTATACTCCTATCAACATCCTGACATTGCACAGTGGCATTCACAAACTGTGGAGTCTGCTGTCCCTAGGACATCTATTCCTCTGCAGTTCAAGACAGCCAAGAAGACAATAATGCACAGCCAAGAAGACCATAATGCACAGGCCACATTTGTGCCCTGTCAAGTTTAGCTCATGCAACCACTTTGACTTTGGCTTACAAAACTTTTTTAATTGAAGGTGCTCAAAGTTTCATATGTGCAGATTTATCATTTAAGCTTTGGGAAAAAGCATTTGTACCAACCTGCCAAAGGTGGAGAAGCCAAAGGCCAAGGTGACATAGCACAGAGACAAGAGGGAGAGAGCCAGTCATCACCTTTAGTAAACCAGCATGTCAATGTTGAGTCAGAAATAGAATAGAGTAGGTCCAGGCTTGTGACCACCTCGCTGGGCTGCTTCTTAGTGTTGGGTCTGACACCCAAACTGCCTAGCTTCACTTTTAACCTGAATAGTAAATAATTAGGAGCACTTTGCTTCATTTCATGTTGGAAAGATGGGATTTGCCTGCAATGTGGGAAGCCTCACATAGAAGATTACCCAGTTCTGTTTCCATGTGCAAATAAGTCATGATGTTTCTATTCTCCCTTTCACAGGAGACGGAGTTTGGCGTGCAGTTGAGTAGGGCATACAAGGGGAGAAGGTCAGGACATATCAACCTGCTGGCCTAAAATTTGGTGTGCTACATGCACAAGCCCTGAACACAAGGCATTAGTGCAAATGTTTTGCACATTATTTACTCTAATGATGCTGCTGTTCTGTAGTAGGCACAGTGGAAAACTGAGATGACACTTTTCATTATGAATGCCTTGGGTCTTTCTCTGAAAATCCTCATTAAGACAGAAATTCTTTAGAAGTGAGAATACAAATATGAGCAGACTTCTCTTTAACTTTCTTATGATTAACAAAAACAAAATATTGGTATCCCAGGGCCACCTCGTCACCTCGTTCAGTCCTTATAAATGCTGGCAACACCCTCCCTGAGAACGCACCACTGCTTTTGCCCTTGTAACAACATTTACACTTCCATGGCAATAGTTGGGAAATCATTGTAAAAGGAATCTGTTTTAGGGGGGAAAAACACTTATGCAACCTTTAATTGGTTATGTAAGTGAAAAGTCATTCTAATTCAGAACAAGCGTTAACTTATCACTTGACCCCATGCTAGCCAGGGGGGTGTGGAGTTTTGGAAAGCAGTGATTTCAGACCCAGCTCTACCACTTGCCAACCAAGTGACTTTGAGCAAATCACTTGACCTCTCTCATCCTCAGTTCCTCTCTATAAAACAGCGTCAACCATAAAGCTGCTTTGTCTACTTTATGGGTTATGGAAGAAGATCAAAGGAGATTATAAATATGAAAGCTCTCTGGGAGAACTGTACAAATGTTATTATTGATTTTTACTAGGCAAAAAAAAAATGAGGAATGAACACAGTGCCCTCCAGGAATAGCTTGGGAGTAACTCAACCTAGTAGTTGTTGGTCAGTCTTGAAGAAGTGGATGTCTCCTGGGAAACAGATGGCCAGACCAGTTTGAAGGACTGTAAACTTGCGGGTCTTAGGTCAATGTGGCAATTTAGCTATGCAACCCGGCGAGAGCTTCCTACATTCTGAGCTCCTGTAGTGCCAGTACTGGCTACATGAAGTCGCTGTGCGATTTCTTACCAGACTTTATTTGGAAAGAGATGACAAGCTAACAGCCTGGCGGAGAGCCAGGGTTTAGAGTGCTGTGGCTGTACACCAGACAGAGTAGTGTTTCATGTGTTGTTCTGTTACCTCCCTCCCGGGGGATTCAACAGATGGAAGAACAACATCAGAAACTGAAGACAAACCTGTCAGTTTGATGCCTTTAAGCTTCAGCAGAACTCACAATTAAAAGAAGATAGAATATCTATTTAGAGGAAAGAGGTGCAGAGAAATAGTCCAAAGAGCATACCTTGTTTCATTGGATCATCACTAATATATCTGGCGACCCCCCGCCATGTAAGAAGAATTACATCCTGGTACACAGTATTCACTTAAGAAAAATTTGTTGAAAGAATACTATGGCTAGTAGCAATAGTTGAGTAATTTTATATGGGCCTTTATATTTCTATTTATCATATTTTTTAGTCCTTCCAAGTCAACTCGAGTTGGGCAAATCCCAGGATGAGTAATTGTGCATCTCAGAACAGTTAGGTAATATGCAGGCCAGACCCTAAGTCAGGCAGAGCAAGATGCATTTTGGCAAGAACTGGTAAAGAGAGAAAGTATTGGATTATTGTTGTTGATAGTTCCCAAGGAGAAAGCGTAGCAGCAACAAAAATAAACCAAACACGTGTGTCTTTTTTTTTAGGCAAATATTTCCAACTACAGCCTGGTGATGGAGTCTGATGGGGGAACCTTCTTACCCTATGGGCTGCAGTTCACTGGCAGTGACAAGGCCAGAGCCATCATGAAGGAGGTCATGGGCCTGCTGCAGCCCATCAATGTCACACGGGTCTTCAGTGATGGAGGAGGGACAGACATCAAGTTCTGGGTCCAAGCTGGAGTACCTGGTAAGACCAAAGATAAAGTTGGGGTTCCTTTTTTGCTACAATTTCAGACAAACCTTCCATTGTCATGTTCCACAGTGAATAGTGATAGGCCAGATTAATGCATGGACACCCTAAGCGTCTTGTCTGTAGGGTATAATCTGATCGTCTCCAAACGTGGGATAGTAGTACTCATTTGTATTTGTTTACTCATATGTCTTCCTTTTCTAAATTATAAATTTCTCAATCCCAGAGAGTCTTTCTTTATGATTCTGGGGTTGGGCCTAGAAATCTCATGCTCTTTTTTCTAATGTGTATCTCTTGTGACTATAGCAGAAGTGATCTCACAATCAATATTTGAGAAAGAAGGTGATTATTACTACAAATATACTTATAGTTCTAGTCCTGTGCTAGGAGATCTTCTCTCACCCAAATAATTCCCTCTCCAAAATAGGTGGTGTCTGAAATTTTATCATTAGAGATTTGGTTTTTGAGGGTGCGATACTTCCCACTAATGGCTTTTTTCTAAGGTAGCCATTTTCAACCCATGTGCCCCAAGTATTTTTAAAACATACAATATGTGACTATTTAGCCAAGAGTGCTGACCTCCTTTCACTTAGATTGTCATATTTTAAAAAATGACAACAGCCAACACAACAATAGCCTGCCTGTGTTAATGAATTAAAAGTATATTTTTGTAAGATTGGCAAAAAATATATATTTTTTGATGTGCCACAGAATTTTAGTCATTAGTTTATATGGGACATGAGATGAAAAAGATTGAAAATCGCTGTTCTAATGCAAAGACTCATGTCAGAGGTTGGGCAAAGGCTAACCTAATCGGTGATTTATCAGGTTGGTATGTTTTAAGAGAAGTCCTGGGCAGGGATGAAATGATGTAACAGGACTAGGCCTGGGGAGGCTACAGGACTAGAAAGTGGAACAGTCTTCATGAAGACCAACTTACACCACTTCACAAATTTGCCGTAGACTGGCCATGGGGAAGGGCTATTGATGATGCTAAAAATCTGTGACCTCAGGTTGTTCCCTTAACACCATTATATACATAATCAAAATCATTGTTAAAGTAGGCCAGGTGCTGAAAGACAAATACCATATGATCTCACCTTTAACAGGAAGCTAAGCAACAAGACAAACAAGCAAGCAGAAAAAAAAAAACAAAGACACTGAAATGGAGAACAAGGGGATAGTGACCAGAGGGGAGAAGGAAGGGAAGTTAAGGGCAAAAAGGGGGAGGGATTTGGAGGAACAAATAGGAAGGACACAGGGACGAGAACTGGGGGGGGGGGGGGGGGGGGTGGAGATGAGAGGGAGGTGGGGAGCAAGGGGCGGGGGAGGCTGGGATGGGAAAAATAGACAAAAAACTGTACTTGAAAAATAACTAAATAAAATTTAAAAAAAAAGAAAAAATCATTGTTAAAGGATCGATTTGCAAATTATTCTGTGTTTATACTTCGCAAATTGAAAGTTCAGCTTTTGAACCGTTTTAACATTACTGTTTCCAGAACCATTTTGGTGTCTACAAAGCATTTCACAGGTTAAAATAAATAAAAGTGTCTCTGTAGATCCAGCCCCACTCCAGCTTTCTTTCTTTTTTTTAGCCTTAAAGGTAGATTTCACCAACAGCATACTACATGTATCTGAAACATTTTTAAAGTTTATTCCTGACATATTGTAGATAGTTAAAGCATATTTTACACTTTAAGGTTTATAAAAATCTTTCATAACTAAAAATAGAAAGAGCTATCTTTTAATACAAGCACCCAAATTCTCTCCAATGGTTTTTATATGTTTTAATTTTGTTTTGAAATATTTTAAAACATTTCCATCTACAGTACTGTGCGTCACGTGAGAACCAAAATTCTCTATGTATGTGTAAGTTTTAATCATGGTCAGGGTCTTTAAATTGTATAGAATGATTTATTTGAATTTTAGATTTTTTTCTGATCCTTACATTTTTTAGTAGGAATATTCGTAAAATTTGAGAAAAGTTAAATCAGTTTGCTGGGTAGCAGACATGAGAAAAAGACTGACGGATTGTGGGCGAATTGGAGTAGAGACTGGGGGTGGTTACAGGGGAGATGGGGCGCTGAAATTAACATAAGGGTAGAGCAAAAAGTATGTACCCCTCCTCCTGGGTGCACTAGTTCTCCCTTGTCTGGGGGGGATACTCCCCCAAGGGAAGGCCCGAAACTGCAGATACATATGACATACACTGTGTTACTATACTATGCATATACTGTGTTATTATACTATGCATATACTGTGTTATTTCCTAGACATACATACCTATGATAGAGTTTCATTTATAAATGAGGCATGCTAAGAGATTAACTACAATAACAAATAATAACTTAGAAGAATGATAATATACTGTAGATAAAAGCGATGTGAATGTGATCTCTGTCTTTCTGCCTCTATACTGCACTAATCTAGGTGATTATTAAGTGACTAACAAGTGGGTGGCGTATACAGTGTGTATACACTAGACAAAGGGATGAGTCATGTCCTGGCCGATAGCATGCGATTTCATCACACTACTCAGCACAGCGCACAATTTAAAACTTATGAATTGTTTATTTCTGGATTTTTTCATTTAATATTTGTGAGCCACAGTTGACTGCAGGTAATGGAAACCAGGAAACCAAGGAAAATGAAACCTTTGATAAAGGGGGATGACTGTATGTCTGCTTTCATTGCATTGGATGATTGACAATTGGCTCGAGCTTTATTTTTTTATGTAGATATAGAATATGTAGATATGGAATGTCTGCTTGGATTTAATAAGTTGATTGCATTGTATTCACAAAGATAAAGAGGCCTTTCCCTCTTGCTCCAATGGAGTGGAGAATTTAGCCCATGTGGTTGCTTAAGAATTAATACAAATCACCATTTACTGAGCTCCTACTATTTATCAGACACTCTGGCTCTTGCAGACACTGCCTTTTTAAATCTGTACCCTCCTAAGAGATAATGATGATTATCCCTACTTTGCAGATAAAGAAACAGACTGAGAAAGACTAAATGCTTCCCAAGGTTATCTTGCTCTTAAATACAGATGTCACCCTGAGAACAGGCCACTTTGGTTTCAAGGCTGGTGGCCCCTTTCCCACAATATACAACACAGGGGAGTCTGGAATGCCGAGAGTCTTCCAAGTCTATGGCAGTGTCTGACATGTTTATCTTACTCAGTTCTTGCTTATGCGAAGGGTTTCAGTTCATTCCTGCTCCAGAATAACTTACCCCTGGGGAAAGGAGTTTGTTATTGTAAATAACTGCTTACTTCTTCTCATGTTCTTCGTTCCACTCCCCTCTGTATCTCTGTCAATCAGGAAGGTTTATATAAAGTCAGAGGTTCATTTAGACTGCAACTAACATTTCCTGGAATTCTTTCTATTTTCTTTAGAGTATTGTAACGTGGAACCAGATTGCTGTTTTCCACTATTACTCTTGTGCTATCTTTTGATATTTCAGGTTCAGGCTATTCCTGAAAGAAATAATGTAACTGTTTACGTTATAATTCTTGATGCCTATTGAAAATTTCAGGGACTTCAGGAAAAGATGAAGAACCATAGTTAATCTAAAAAAAATATACATATATACCAATAATGTACCCTGTATTCTTGAAGATACAGCAATTTAAATGAATTAAACCTAAAGATAGGATTCAAAATAATTATTTACAATTTAAATAATTGCCCACCTGACATTTGAAAAATTAATGAGAAATAATATTTTCAAACTGCATCCTTTCTTTTTTCTCTTTTTCTTTTCTTTTTCTTATTGATGCAACAAATGTTTATTGAGTCCCTACCATATGTTTAGCCTATCAAGTTTCTGTAGTCTGATAATAGGGACCTAATTTTTTAAGGTTCCACATGTACTCAATATCAAAATGCTAATTAAGACCACAGATAGAATTAAAATTCAACATGATGTTTATTAATTATCAAAGCCAAATATATTAATTCATGAAAGGGTCATCTTTTAGGAGGAAATATGATGTTTTTCATCCATCTAGTTGATGTCTAAAATAAAGCTTTGTTGGGGGGATGATAAAAAATTAAGTATTATAGATGGATTTGCCATATAAACTCTGTTCCACATAGCTTTATACTCCAGCCTCCTCCATTTCCTCCTCCTTTTATACGCCTTCCTATTCTTCTTCTCTAATCGCAAATGCTCTTTAAGTTTCACTCTACATTCATCAGTGTCCATGAATTCTTCCTTAACAATCCCTGAAGCTCTATCGCCTTTCTAAATTTTCAAAACACTTCTGTATTATCTGCAGTCTGGCCCCTGAACTGCACAGGGACATTTTTCTTGGATTAGTAAGAGTTTATATGCATCTTGCTTCCCATCCCCAGTGGTCAATTCTTTGAGGTTAAGGTCAATGTTTTCTACTTTTTTTGCTTCTTCTGTATCTCTTAGTTTAATTTTGGAAAACATTTAAATTCTTGTAAGTCTGACATGAGAGAAGAAACAAAACATAGAAATAATTATTTTATCAACAAGCTTTGGGTCCCTCAGCTCAAGAATGTGAAAGAACCAAAGGATGCTGATAATAGAGACATAAAAATAGAAAAAAATATTGGGAGAATCATATAAAAATTGGAGAAGCTTTAACACTTAGGGTTTTTTGCTTTTACAGGAAGAGAGATGTTGAATAACATCTTCTAGTATTTTAGTGGCTCATATAAGCAAGATGGTAAACGGTTGTTCCCTGACTCTTTTAAAGGCAACATAAGAGTATGACTTAAAGTAGTCTCAGAGTCATTTAGTTAGTTCCTCTTCACTGAGGAGAAGACTTCAGTCTTAAATTTATCCCTGATCTTCAATTATAAACTCCAGGTTAGAATGAGAGGAATCTATTTCATTAAATGTGTCAGCAACGAGATAAAGTCCATGGCTCTCAGATGTCCTTAAATCCATCTTTCTTGAACATCATCTATTTTAAGAAACTCTTCCATAAACTATACAGTAAAGAAAAAAATAGATACTTT